TCAAAAATTTTCACAAAAATCTCGACAATAACAATTAATATCGTATTTATTATCTGTAAAAATTATAGAATATAAAACAACTTTGATAAAAACTTATACCTACTTTTCTGATGAAAACAATGCCGTTCTGAACATGTTGGCTACAACTGTAGATTCAGTTTTTCACTTCTGCATATAAAATGAGGGATTAATTTGCTATTTTCTGGTCTCCTAAACTGATTACTCACTTCTGTTCTGTAAAGTATTAGTAAATTTCTGAAGATAACCAATTTTATTACATAAATTACTATTAACAAGTTATGTTAGACTATTTGTATATTTTAACATTTTTGTAGATATTAGATAAAAATGTGATACTATTTCTTGTTACCTGGAATTGGTGTGTCGAGGGTTTGAACAATGGAAAATGACCCAGACTTAAAGGGCAATGATGATTGACATGTTCTATGTAGCTGAAAATGAAAGCTGTAAAGTGGAAACTTCATTTTCATAAACAATGAATTTGGAGTTGATTTCTCCTGGTCGAAAGTTGAGTTGAAATACTAGAAGGGGTTAGATAAGCCACCCATGCTCACCAAAGAGATTTAATAATATGAGAGAGTGGAAGAAGAAAATTCCTTAGAATTATGAAGTAAGCTGATAACAAAAGGGGATTTACTGAAATCCTCCTATACACTGTGCCCCATGCCAGTTTGAGTGAATGTCCATAAATACGAAGGCATGGCATGAATTTGTCAGATGAAATAGAGACAGAGATGGCAGAGAATTTGTCTCAGCCACCAGTTGTGATTGCTCTTGCCAAAGAGAAACACCAGACTTCAGCCTTGTGCCAAATTTTACCAAAACAGCAAAACAAAGTTTATCAATATCACCTCCAATTTAGATGTGGATTGGGCTGATACTTAATTGCAAGTGAACTCTGATATAACCAAATGTACTTAACATTTGGTTGCTATGACCAAGGATTGAGCCTGACGACCACATTTGGTCGCTGTGAGCTGGGATTGACTTTGAAAGACTACAATTTGGTGCAGATTTGACGTTGGGTTGACTATGACCAACCCAAGAACCAGACAACAGAAAGGAAGGAGACAAAAAAAGTAGTGAGAACCAACAGACTCTGGTCATTTTGACTATATGATTCTAAAATAAATATACTTCGTAATTTTTTCTTTTTTTTTTATTCTCTCAATAAATTGACAGCCGCCCAGGAACAAGTGACATTTAGGACACTTTTCAGTTTTCTCTGAAATTTCTCTTGATGAGTGACCACAAGTCAGCGAGGTCTGAAGTAGTAGGTGTTGAGGATGAGGTGGCAGGGCAACAACCTACTAGTGGCCTGAGGGAATTGTTGGGAGGACCCAGGGACCCATCTTTTGTGGGGAACCCAAAAGAGCTGAAGGATTCACTAGCATCAATCAAAAAGGAACAATGCATATATGAGCTGTCTGATAAGGAAATGGTATACATAGCATTTAACACTGTAGTGGGTACAGTTTCAGATTTCATAGGGGTTCACTTGATAGGAGATCCACAGTTAGCCTGGGGTGAGCTGGAGGAACTACTTATAAAGGAATATGCCAATGAGGAGACAGCAATTGAGGCAATTAAAAGATGAGAACCCCGGAGAGCTAGGAGCTAGTGCAGAGAAGCTGGCCGCTCTGGAAGAGGTTATGAGTAACACAACTATGCAGGCCCAGCTGGCCGACCTATATGTGGAGGCACTCCAGAATGAGTGCATACAGCATGAAAGAAGCACTGGTCAAGCCATCTGTGGCAGTGGTGGTGGTGAACAAGAGGATGTCAAACTGGAGGAATAGGAAGAGGTTCTCAGAAGAAAGGCTTCATTGCTCTGACATGGGTTCTAGGAGCCCACACCTGCAAGGTACGGGTTAATCTATTGGACTAGTTGCCATGAGGGTCACAGGGCAGTCAGCTGCTCAACAGAATGGCGACTGCCCCCAGATTTTGAAGATGATAAATACACAAGGTGCAGTCATAGAGAACATAAAACTAAATGGTGTGAGATTAATAAAGATGCTCCACCAAAACAGGTTAAGAAGGCAGTACCTTGAAAACACAAGCCGGGAAATACTAGTGGACCACTCTGGAAGCGAGATATAGGTGGTGCTAATCTCTATCTTGCTTCTCCCACTTTCTCAGTAGCCAACCTCAGCCTGCTGGTGTGACAAATCTAAATTCCAGATAGTGCAGTGAAAACAAAAGGGATTTTCAGTCATTAATCTTTATCTATCAGCTTGCCCTATGCTCTTGATCAACCAGACCACTTAAGAATTGGAAAAGGAAAGAAAAAAACTATTTCCACTTTCCTTAAAATTAAAGATTGTCTTTTCTCAGTCTTACACATTTTTTATGATTGAACAGATCAACCAGCCTTTTTTCTAATGGTCACTGGAAAATAGTAATTAATTTTTCATTACCACTTGTATATCCAAAGGAATCCGAATTAATCTCAAAACAGATTTTTTTGCACTTTCTGTTCTGAGGAATCATGAATGCTATTTATTCTGGCCCTGGTTTCTTTATCATCAACATGTTTTTATTTTATCTGACATCTTTATGGATACCTTAATAGTCTCCTTATTGGTGAAGGACTAATAGTCTTACTGAATTCTGTCTAGTTAAATTTGGGTTTGATTCTCCTTGGAGTTATTTAAAAAAAAAAAACATGATTTATCAACACATTTTGTTTTTAATTTTCTTAACTTTTCAATCCATCTTCCACTTCCTTCTTTATTTCACTTTTTTGCTTGATCAACCTCCGGAGATCTCAGTGTCACATAATTATCTTTATTAAAGAAATCATTCAAAAATAAAATATACTTTTCTAATTAAAGAGTTAAAAAATAATTTTTCCCTCAGTGTGGTCTTGGTACACTGTGCAAGATCAGATTAAACAAAATCAGATTTTTTACTAAAAAAAAAAAAATCAAAACCACATTTCTTTTTCATGGGATTTCACAATTGAAAACCTTTACTTGAGGAATATTTACTGATTTAAAGTTTAATTAATCTCATTTGTAACAAATATTATTTGAAATGCATTTTTTTTTTTTTTTTTTTTTTTTATGTTGGTAGCTGTTTAAGGTGTTGACAGTTTAACAGCTTAACTTGACAGACAGAAGTTTAATTTTTTTTACAGTGGATTTTTAGATACTTTGGCTGTAAATTTACTATATTTGTCACTCTTATTTTCTGAAAATATCATTTGTGAACGTTCATATTAACAAAAATCTGTACATTTATATGCACAAAAAATTAAATCTTTTTTTTTAAATATTGGTGGTTGATAAATTGTATTAAGCTTGTCCATTTCATATTAGTAAATATAGTTTTTACTTAATAACAGTATCTCTTAACCTGGACCAAATAATACAGAAATTTAAGAGATTTATAACTTTATAAAATATTCTAATTCAAATTTTAAAAAAATGAAAACTGTTGTAAAAATTCCTTATGTATTAAATTTTTTTTCTTAAGACAATAGTATCCATAATATAGCAATTAAGTTTTTCTAATTAATGTCTTAGTTTTATTATATATTTTTTTTATTTTACAATTTAGAGCAGATTTTCAGTCACTGGTGGTCCTGTTTTGTAAAGAGAAATTGATTTAAATTCTCCAAGGAGTTCTGATTTTAACCAATATAAACATTAAGCTCTATTATTCTGTTGAGCTAGCTTGTACATTCATGACTCTATCAAGCCAACCATCATGGTTCTGGTTGAAAGGTCACTGGTATGGTGTTCTGTGTCATAACATAGCTGGTCAATGTAAATGGTTGCTGGGTGACCAACCCATCTTGCTGTCTAAGTATAAGCTCTACAAAATTTAATTTCTCAAAATTTCATAAAATTAAATAAGTGGGGGTAAAAATTTTTTTTTTTTTTTTTTTTCCTAAGATTTTTTTAAAAAACATTTCTAAAATAATTTCATTTGTGAATAAGTCCTGAACGTTTCATTAAAATCAGACAATTATTTGATTTCTGAAAGAATTTTCAAATCAATGTGTTTTTCACTGCAAAAAGATAAATTTTCCTATACTAATCTTTGGTCTTCTCACGGTGATTTTAATGATAAAAATTTGTTTTTATAAAGTTTTGGGGCTTTTTTCAACATGTATTGCTAATTTTTAGCGAATCAGTGGAGGTCCTAATTAAAGAGTTAAAAAAATAATTTTTCCCTCAGGGTGGTCTTGGTACACTATGCAAGATCAGATTAAACAAAATCAGATTTTGTACTAAAAAAAAAAAAATCAAAACCACATTTCTTTTTCATGGGATTTCACAATTGAAAACCTTTACTAACAATTTGTAACAAAAAAGATTTTAAAAGTCTGACAACAAATTCAAGATTTTGCATATTATATTTCATAAGACAGACCAAGAGAGAAAAAGCCTGTAACACAGCATGTGTTTATACTACTAAAGATAGTGAAATTACAATACTGTCAGTAAAGTGAGCTACTGGATTGATGAGATCTGAGTTAGTATGTGAGAGCAGAAAACTAATTACCTCCATTTGTTCAGTTGGTTACTTTTACTAACCATAACAAACCCTCATCCATCCATGCTGTACAAAAGTGATGCTTCAAGTGATGATAGTTGGTGCATCTGATGCTGACAGGACTAGATATTGGGCAAGATTTATTACAATATATTAATACAGTTCATGCCTTGAAAATTGGTAATTTTGATCCTTGAATATATAGTTAAAAACTTCAGATGCTGAAAACAAAAATGTTGCTTGAAGTAACTTGTAAGTAAGATAATTAATATTTGCATAATTTTATACAAATGTGGAAAAACTGATTAGAATTAACTATGAAACTAGTTTAATATTAAAAAAATGTCTGTTGTATTTGAAAGTGAAATGATTCAAGCCAGTTTTCATTATGTATTAAAAGAAATTAATTTTTGCTGTAATTTTTAATTTATTTTTCAGGGGTATTTGGAGGAAATGTTGATGAGCATCTGGAAATGGGCAAAACACTCCTTGCCCAGGGACAATTGTCTGATGCTCTCTCTCACTATCATGCTGCTGTAGGTAAGTACTTTTATGAATGTCAACATTTTAATTTTTTGAGATGCATTCATCATTTTACAAATTTGCTGAATAACTAATTTAACTTCAATTAATACCTCAGACACTAGAAGATAATTGTTCAAAACAATGACAGACAATATTAATGAAACCTTTGTCTTTTTTTTTTTTAAATACACTTTAATATTGTGTGTGCATTATTTATATATATATATATATATATATCTTTCTCTTTCAACTTCCATCACTTCTTGGGAAAGATTGTCAAATTTATCATTGGTTTCTTCATGGTTTTGAATACAAAGTGGTCCATCTCCTATAGATTGGTTCCCACACAAAACTACAGAGCTCAGACTGCCCTATTATTTAACCTATGTTTAAAGATAAATCCAAATTGTTAACATTGTAGCATTTTCTCTACTGCATAATTAAAACAATTTTCCACTTATAATTGAGCATACAGACCTTTTTTATGTAACTTAGAAGGCAGTTAAAACAGAAATAAAATAGCTTCTGCCTAGTGTTACTGCTGTAGAGCAGGTTTTAGCATGATAGTCTCTCAAGCTATAGATAATAAATTCATTTTCTTATTGGGGCTCTATGAATCTGTCCTTGTGTTATAATGGACATAGTCCAATAAATGCTGATTCTAAATAAAACAATACATAAGAATTAAATGTTAATATTATTCATGTTTTTCAAGAAGGAACGAATTTCCATCAGATTCAGTTCTTTTGTAAAGAGTAAACACAATTTACAATTATAATGGTGAATCAATAATTCCATAGCTTGACACCTTGTTATGAGGTGAATGTTTTGCTCTAATGTTTGCTTACTATCATTAATTTTCGTCACTGAATTTAAAGTAGATGTTTACATTGTACTCATAAAATAAAAAATAGTAACAAAAAAAAACATGACATTAAAAAATCACTTCCCAAGGCTCTGCTATTTTCTGTTATTTGTATTGTATGCAAGATGTCAAAAGCAACAAGCTAAGAATAAATACTGCAAGTAAGCACACAAGTAATTGAAAATTACTGCTCTTTAGATGTGAATTTTCAGCAACTGGGTGCAAATTAATGACTTTGAGAGTTGGCATTCTGTTATTGTGTCATTGAATATCAACTCTCTCCTTTTTAATGTTATATGTACATTTTTTTATATAGAAATTGATACTGGGATTCTAAAAACTTGAATATTAGTACATCAAATATAAATTACTTTTAATTTTATACCTGTTACCGTTATGTTTTCTTGTCTATTGCACCAATGGAAAATTGGTTGGGATTATACACTGATTTACTTGAACAATGATCCTCATCTTGGTCGGTTCAGTCACAATATTATGAATGTTGTACGTTTTACATTGCTTAAGCAGATCTAGTTACTTGGTGGTTGGGAGTTCATTCCCTGTATACAGTTATCACAAAAAATTATATATTCTGTTCATTGGCAGAATGAGAACACTATACCCTCATGGATTGAATAAAGGATTCAGGTTGAAAGTTTCTCATTACAACAGGTATCCAAAGAAGGTCAGAGAGTACAGCACCCCCAAAAAACTAACAACCAAGATTAGGACATTAATCTATGTAAGTCAATGTATAATAATAATTCTATGTGAAAAAAAAAATGATACAAAAACCACTAAAAATTATTTGGTACAATTCAAATCAGTGTGCCAAAGACAACATTTAAATATCACAAATATAAATATCTATTTTATATAAATCTGATTTTAAATCTCATTTATTATCAGTGATATTTTAAAATCACATTTATTATCAGTGATATTATCCTGGTTTTATTTTTGTTTGAGAATTTAACCATTTTTGTTTTAATCTGAAAATTTGAGTACAATAAAAATAACAAAAAAAAACATTTTAGTAATAGAGAGCCAGAATTATAGATAGAGTATTTTAGGCCAATAGTCTACAATGACCAGTTTACTGTTGGTTAGGGAATAGGTGAAAGTTCATGAAGGATTAGATATGAAGTCAAATTTGTTATAGATAACAAAATGAGGTGTAGTTTCTCTGTGTGTGTGTATATATATATATATATATATATATATATATATATTTTAATGAACAACAGCAAAACATTCACCTAATATATATATATATATATATATATATATATATATATATATATATATATATATGTGTGTGTCTCTCTCTCTCTTTCAAAAGCACACACACATGCATGCGTTTGATTGTTTTTGTGTGCATATATATATGTAAGATCCTAATAATAAAGCATAAAGATCCTGATGTAAACCAACATAATGAGATAATCTTTAAATGCAGACACAAAAATCATCTCAATGTAACTCACTACACTTAAAAAAAAAAAAATCACTATCAGTTATAATATATATGCAGTTGTATATGGGCATAAGTACATTGATATACATTCTTACCTTTAGGCTATGATTTATAGGTTTCCATATGATATTTGTAGGCGTATACATATGTTGGTATATATATATGTGTGTGTGTGTGTGTGTGTGTAGATATTTATATACGATGGTAAATATTGGCAGGTATGAGGAGGCTTGTATGCCCATGTGCATGCGGGTACATATTTGTATGTAAAAAAATGTGTATATGGGCTTGTATATGGTTATATGTGTATACTTATGTAAATATGTATATGTGTGTGTATTTGTAAAGTTAGGTAGGTATATGTATATACAGTGTAACCTGGATATAAGAGAGTTGTCGGGACCGGAGAAGAAGTCTCTTATATCCGGGTTTGGTCTATTTTGTTTAGGTAAGTATGGCTCTAATTTGGGACCAGAGAAAATCTCTCTTATATCCGGGTTACACTGTATATCAATTCATGTGTATGGGGTTGCATATATATATATATGTATGTAATGTATGTTTGTATAAATAGAGATTTATGTAAAGACAGAAATTTATTATCTTCTAATTCTTGTATTACCTTCTAATCTTACTTCATTTTGAAATAATTTCTAATTAGACTTGAAAAATTAGAAATTTTTACTTGTCTGGAGATAATTTCAATTTAAATTGATCACTTAGATTTAAATTAAAAAATATTACTCCTTAACCATTATTCACAATATTAAAAATATTAAAATTAAAAATTTTTAAAAATCTAAACACTTAATTCACTATCTAACATTAATGGTAAAAATTAAGAGAAAATTTAAATATGTATAAAAATGGATGCCTGTGGAAATATGTATATGTAAATATTTTTTTATGTATGTGCATGTATACTGATGTGTATCGATACATGTGTATGTGGTTATATATGTAATTGTACATGTATACAAATATATGTGTATTTACATAAATATGTATGTGGTATGTGTATGTAAAAACAGTAAATTCTTTTATTATTACCTTCCAATCTTACTTCATGTTGATTTGAAACTTAAACTTTAATTAAGAAATATTACTCATCTAAAAATAGCTTCAGATTAAATTGATGAAGTAGAAAAAAAAGTAAATCATTTTGTTTTTTTTATATATATATATATATATATATATATATATATATATAGTAATATATATATATATATATATATATATATATATATATGTCGGGTTTCAATCCTAGCTAGAGGCAACCAAACGTTTAGCCACACTGATGAGCTGTGAAACCGTCTATCTCTGGATGGCACACATACATACATACATATATATATATATATATATATATATATATATATATATATATATATATATAATGATGATCCCATGTGGTGAAACCTAAGTAGATAGTACCTGGTTCATTAGGATTTATTTATTTTACCTTTGCTCTGCTTAATGTATTGAGCACTCTTCATTTTAACTTATTACTGTTTTTTGTTTCTTTGTACCAGAGATTTAAGCTACTGAATCATTTCTTTTGCCCTCTTCAGAGGTTTCTGGTGCTTCTGTTTTTTTTACATTTTTCTCAGATGCCATTTAATTTGAAAATTGTGTTATCAGGGTTTTCACCCACCAAGTTTAAATAGAATTACATTTATTTATGTATATATATATATATATATATATATATATATATATATATATATAATATGAAAAAAAAAATGTGGGTAAGTAATCCAAGTAGATCCTATTAATATAAAATATTAAAACTGATCCACAAAAAAGTGCTCAATATATTTTTTAATATAGAGCATATAAGTGAATTACAGTTAATGGGATCCAAACAATTTACCTCATACAGATGATCATTTCATCCATGGAAAAAGTAGTTTTTCCCTGGACTTATCAATGCAAATACATTTACTAAAATGAATAAAATCCTATGTTTCTTCACAGGAAATTTGAAAGGCAAAGGAAAAAAAAAAAAGAAAGAATAAAAGAGGGAATAAGAATTGGCCTATGATAGAGGAGGGATTTGTATAGATATTGAGCGGTAAGGAATCTCTAAGGTGGTCATGGTACAGATAAACACAACTGTTGAAAATGGACACTGATATAAATGTAACCTATCAACACTTGTGCAAGGAAGAAGAATGAACAAAAAAAAAAACCATAAAAATTTTTAAAGAGTTTGAAATATTATAAATGGGAGTGAGTATTTAAAACAATTTCACATATAGAAAAAATTTTACATATAGGGAAGATGTCAAGATAGAAAAAATTCACATATAAAAATATAAATGAAAGAGGTTCAGCTGATAGTATGTTAGTTGAAATTAGTTCCTGTGGCAACACTTGGAGTGTGGGGTTGAAATAATGTTATGTCAGTTGGAATTTTTTCCTATGGCAGCAATTGGATACGAATTCATTGCTTTTATTTAGTATAATATCTTGATACTTAAATTTAATGATTTTAACTTTCTTCTCCAAACATAAATTACATCTACCCTTAAAGCTATTTGAAATCTCGGCAAAACCTATTAATTCCAAGTCAGTTTGAGGGTTCAGGTCTTTCTCCTTCAATTCTTAAAATTTTTGGGAGAAATTTGTTTGCTTTTTTTTAGTTTTGGGTTGAAAAAAGTCCTTTTTTCCATTCCCTCCCAGAAATCCCAATATAAACTTGGTGGTTTGATTTATTTTCTTTAGGGTAAATGGTGGCTTCATAAATAACTCTACATTTTCCCTCGACTGGGCAAAGGTTGCTATTTCTACAATTACAAGGGTTTTTTAATTAGAATTTTTGTTGACACCATTGAATTTGTTAAGGATGTACTTATTTTGGGAGTCAATTACTCTATACATGTTGTTAGTACATGAATAAATTATTTTAATGGTTTTTCTATTGAAGATCTTACCTAGACAGTTGTTATTCAGAAAATGTTTATAACTTTCAAAAAAATTTATCCAATATTAATTCTAGATAATCTATGGAAGTGGGTGTTGAACCAATTTTTCCATTTTTGTGTGGATTACTACTCTTAACTTCACTATGATTATTTGTGGGGTTTAAGTAAGATAGTTTATGTGCAAAACCACTTTTCTGGAGGGCATTTTCATACAATGCTTTATTCTTATCAAATATATTCTTATTAGATGACAGTTTATTAATTCTAGAGCCAAAGTATCTGCTTCAAGATGGTAGAGGGGTGGTTCAAGTTAATGTTAATATAATTAGGAGTTTCGTGTTCATTGTGGTATGGTTTAAATGTATTATTATTCAAGTTAAGTGTGATGTCAAGGTAATCAACTATTTTTATATTGGAAGTGATCTCTATCTTGAATCCCAGGAGCTTAAAAGCTCTAATGATTTTTTCTGTAATTTAACAGTAAGATGACCATTACTATTGGGGACATAAATGAGTCCATCAACTCTATACAGACAGACTAGTTCCGGTTCAATAAATCTACCAGTTATCTCCAAAATGTAAACACAGACAAAATCATCTATTTGTGCTGAATCATATGCCCTCTATTGGAACGTCAATTTCTTGAATAATACCCAGTTTAGTTTGATCAATCCAATTAAGTCTGAGCTAGTGATAATTTCTGAAAATATAATTAAAAAAATTACAGAGAATTAATTTCAACTGGTGTCAATCTTTGGAAAGACTCATCAGATATCATTGGGTGGTTCAGTAATATGAGGCGGGGGGAGAAGAAGAAAGCTACGTTTATTAAATTCAACATCATCGACCTTTACTCCTCTGTTTCTAGTGACCTTTTGAGTGACTGAATTAGATTTGCTAAGAACTATATGGTGATGTCTGAGGAAGATATCAATATCATATTTGCTGCAAGGAAGTCAATTCTATCACTTAGTGACTCCACCTGGATTAAATGTGGGAGTAATGACTTTGATGTTCCAGTAGGGGCATATGATTTGGCACAAGTATCTCTCTCTATATATACATATATATATTTGCGAAAGATTCCTTTGATATCTATTGATAGTAATTCTCAATATCAAAGTGTATCCTAAAATAAAGAGAAATGAAGATAAAGAAAAATTATGTAATTGTAGAAAACCTCAAAACTGTCTTCTTAATAATAAATGCTGTATTGCATCAGTAATTTATCAATACAATATCTCATCTATGGAAGAGACAGACGTGGTTAAATTCTACATTGGATGCACACAGAATGAATTCAAAAGTAGGTGGAACCAACATCAAATGTCCTTTAATAATGATAAATACCAAAATCAAATGTCCCTATCTAAATATTTCTGGCACTTAAAAGAAACCAATAAAACACCAACAATAAAATGGAAATTAATAAGAAAAGCTAGAGCTTGTAGTTCATTAAATGGCCCATTCCTTCATGCATACATGAAAAATTATATATCAAGTTTCTGAAAAATAAAAATTTACTGAATCAAAAAAATGAAATATCTGTTTTTTGTAGGCACTGTCAAATATTTTCCTTAAGTAATAATTAATTTTGGAAAAATAAAAAAGGAGAAATGAAACATACATTTTTATATTTGATCAGTAATAAGTTACTAAATTCTAATATATTTATTTTAAAAATAATATATAACCTGTTAGTTATTAGGAGGAATGGTACTTTAAATCTGTAGGAATAAAATTTAATATTAAAAATATGACTTACTCATACTTTAAATAAATGACCCTTTTAGAAAATCTTTCTGTATAAAAATATGGATATGTCCCCAAATCAACATGTAGATAACCACCAAACATAAATAATGCTTACTAGACACACACACACACACAATCATCTGAATCCCACATAGACAAACTAGAATTATGATATTACACACTTAAATTATACACACAAATGCTGCTTGACTAGTCAGATGTACATGATGTCTGCTTAACCAATGAAAATCAACAATACAAAAATAAAAATACCATAAAAATTTTTTCCAT